ACAATTAGCATTTTAATTTTAGCAATTATTTTCGAATTTTATCATTCCACAAATACTTTTGCTAGGGGAGTGTATATTCTTGCTTCTCATTGCTCACCTGAATCATTTGCCCTTAAAGTAATCTTTTTTATGATGAATACAATAGTTCCTAAAGTTTTCATTCTCAAAGTCCATCTATGCAAAATATACGTGAATGAACTTTACGTGTCAACAACATCAGTCCCGAATTTGTAAAAGTTCTTATTTTCATAAATATAAACTTTTTTTTAACAGGGCAAATATCTGAAAAGAATTGAATCACAAATTGCTTAAGAAATTCTTCCTGCGGGTAGTAAAGAGGATCATATGTGCTGTTTGTGTAATCTCAAATTTGTTACATTTTACAAATCTGAAATTAATATAGAATGTTGGAAGGAACTTATTGAAGATTTTATAAAAAGAAAAGCAAAAAAGAAGGCTAGGAGAAAATGGTCACAGAGCCTGTTGGAAGATAAGCAGTACTAATGACATTGACCAAATTCATTGCATAAATGAAAAAGTTGAATAATTGGATATTTAAAAAAAAATGTCCAGTATGTATAATCAAGTTATATGCATGACTCGGATATTCCTAATATCATTTGAAAGCTCTCATTTTAACTTCACAATGATACTTCTTTCATCAATGTTTTGTTTAAGTTATTACATTAAAAGTTTTGTACAAGTTTTAATTTTATAAGATAAATATTGAGTTTTTGTCTACTTTTGAACTCCACGAGATCATAATTAAGATCATTAATAGAGTTAGATATTAAAAAATATAAAAGAAGACACTCTGATAAAGGATAAATGTGCTATCAAAACCACCTTCTTAGTGGGTTTATATATGCACCATAAGTAAAATTAGGTCTCATAAATAGGAAATAGTGTATTCAAGATAAATTTTAAGATGGAAACACTAATTTTGAGAAGACTACAATGCAATAAGAGACATTAGATCAAGATTTACATTCTACAAAGCATTTGTGAGTAGTGAGTTTAGCAAATCGTTAAGCATAGATTTTCCATTATCTTACTGTGAAAGTAAAGCATTACATGATGAGTGGTAAATTTTTGGAATATCCCAAATTATTCCTTGCCATTTAAAAATTATCCCTTGCCTGTGATAATTTCTTGATTTACTAACACGACACGCATATCAAATAATACGTAAACGAGATGTGTATTAATTCAAATCAACTTGTAAAATAAGTTTCAAGTACCATCTTTACTAACATATCAGCTATTTTCGATAACTCTCAATTCTCTATAGTTAATTATTAGCTTTTTCTACTATTAGGGCTGGTGATTTTCAAAGACTCCTTGAGGGCATAGAGACTTTTCATTCATATTTTCTCCTTTATGAAAAAATATCATATATTTCTTGGAGTAAGAAATTTATAAATGAAAATTGGTTAAATTTGTTTTTTAGAAAAGAATATAGAAAATATCGTATGATAGAAAGTGAAAGAAAGAGGGAGAAAAAAATAATCAATTAAGAGAATTTAATCCCTCTTTATATATATAACGAAAAGTAATTCTAAAGATATATAAGTTTATTATGGAAAATATATAATAAGATAATACATAGAAAATATTTATTTTACATAATTTTTACAATGTTCATATTTTACTAACTTATACAATTTCAACAATTTCACGTCTAATACATAACATATATTAAATCTTATACGTTACCATCTTGACCAACCTTTTAATAAACCAATCGCTTCATAATCGTTAAGCATTTCTATATGTTCATTTGTCAATTCGAAATTAATTGATATTCTCAAGTATAATGACTTTCGTTTTCTCCAACCTTCCAAGAAATCTTGAAGATCTTCTAATGATAAATTCCATGCTCCACTCAATACAATTTCTTCTAAATTCGTTGATGCTTTATTTACGATTAACCCCAATACATCACATGAATCCAACCAATTTTCTTCACTATTATTATCATTTTCATCGATTACTGCTTCTATATTAATACCTTTAAGTTGAATACTACAAGTTAAGAATTCCTCCAAATCTTTAAATACTTCATTAAAATACCAAAAACTAACATATTCTAATTTTGAACAATATTTTAAGATGATTTGATTATATGAAATAATTTGATATTTTAATGGATGTGGCCAAGTTTCAATTTCAATTCTTTCAATTTGTGTTGTGGGTTTAATTATGTTCATATAAAATTCTAATGAAGATGGTGAAACGGAAGAAGACGATGATGATGATGGGGAAGGTGCATCCAATCTACCAACTTCTAAAATTTCTAATTTAGGTAAATTCACTGATTCTAATAAGTTTAACCCAGAATTATCTTCTTCTAAATCGATTGATAATCTTTTTAAATTTGTTAATGTAGAAAGATGTTCCGGTTGTAAACATAAATTCTCCTCGAACTCAATACTAATTAAGGTAGTTGCTTGTGTGATTAATGCTTGACCAATACCCGGACATTCGTTACCTTCCGAAGAAACCAATTTCACTTCTTTCAATCCATTTTGTGAGGTTATCAAAGAAATTAAACCATTATTATCTTCATCACATAGATTGATTACTAATCTCACAAGATCTTTAACAACCTGTGCAAGATCAACGAATAATTTTGGAGATTTATAAGTAGAACATTCTAATTCCGTAAGTTGAGGAAGACAGATGGAAGAACCAGGAATATAAGGAAGTGATACGTTAGGAATTTCAACATATTTCAAAGTTTGACATCTATTCATGAACATTTTCCAAATTTCATTTTCTACTAAATTTAGATTGTAATACCAAGAGATGTCAGCGAAAGATTGTTCAGACCCTATTATCTCAGGAATAATTTCATAAATATCTTGACATGAAATATATTGACAATATCCCACATAATCAAATAAAGGAGGTTTTGAAGATAATTTTGGTAACTTGATATTATTACTTTTGAAAATATCTTTTGATTCTTGAGGTAAACATAATAAAATGATGTGGGTAATAGATTTCCAATAATTTGAATCATAATAAAAAGTACGATTATAACGAAATGGATCTCGCCATAAAATGGGAACCGCATTTTCACACCATAAACGATTAACGAGTAGACAGGAATGTAAAGATTTTGGCTGGTGAGTTAAATATTTAAAAATATCTCTAAGGCAATCATTTGGTAGGTGAGGATTAATAGTAATAGTAGACATATTGGTATTAGAATAATTCGTTTTATTTTGCCGAGAATAACCTAATCGATCTAAGAATGAATGATTCAGAACGAGCGAATAAATCAAAATTGTAAATTATTATTAAATAAAAAAAAAAAAGACTTTATCTAATTCGCACCAATAGGCATTATAATATAATTAATTAATATAATATTTAATTATAATATTTATCATTATTTATCATATTAATATTATTATCCCCTTAAAATAAAATCCTCCTTACCTATATAAGAACTATTCCTGACAAGGGCAAGGTATGGAGTAAAAATCGAAAAATTTTTTTGCCGTATTTTATATTGAACACTAATTTATTTATTTATTTTTTATTTCAGAGTTACACACGTATTTACCAAAAAATTTGGAGATTTACAAAAACAAATCTTCATACAAGGAAAAAATCTACTGTATATTTATGATGCGTGACTTAACAGTTGATTTTATTATATGATTTTAGCCAATCAAAAGAATCCTTAGATTTGATGTAAAAATTTTTTTTAATATATTGATATCACTTCATACCACTTACAATTGAAATTGATAATAATGTCAACTTACGAAAAACTATTATACTTTTCTACCGGTCTCGCGGGTGTTTTGATGATATATAGTGTAAATCAACAAGTTAAACGACATTTTCCAAAAGTGACAATGAGAGAATTATTAGGAAGTGAACCAAAGAAAATTGAAGACGGTAAATTTTCAGTCAAAAAAATTTTATTTTTTTACGATAATTAATTTTTACGTTGAATAATCTTTTTTTTTTTATATATTATATAGAATTAAATCTTGATGATTTAGCAGAATTGACCATATCCGATAATTTAAGTTTACGAAATAGGTGCGCTATTCTGAATTCATTTTTCTAGAAATAAAGAAAATTCCTTATAAATTTCTATAAATTATTAGTGCGATTCGTATTCTTCTAGACAGAGCAATGTCAGGTGATTATTTGTTATTCATTTTATTTTATTTAATTTCACATTATTATTATTATTATAATCATTATTAAAGATCTTTTTATTAAATTTTTTTTTTCAATAGATAAATTTTTACCAGATATGATTAATTGTTGTAATCATCCAGATCCAGAAATTAGAATGAAAGCAGTTATCACTTTACAATTATTATCAAGAAATGGTAAAAAAAATTTTTTTTAGATCATTAAATAATAATAATATAATAATAATAATAATTATTATTATTTTATTATTATTTACACTCATCATAAATATAATTTATTAGAAGAGAATAAAGCCAGATTAGCGAAAAATAAAGCTTTAGAAGTATTAGTGAGATTGTTAAAAGTGGATGATAATAGAGAATACACTCATCGGTATGCAGCAATTGCATTATACGATTTGATAGCTGGAGATGGTATTTATATATTAATTATTATCATAATTATTATTATTATTATTTATTCATTATATATTTATTCATAAGTTATTATAATATATTTTATTAGATGATCACAAATATAAAATAGTAGTGTTGGGAATCATACCAACTTTAGCGAATTTATTGGGTGGATCAAATTCATTGTATGACAGTGAGACAAAATCATGGTCTTTAATGGTGATACATCAATTATCACTTTATGGTATAGTTAATTATTATTATTATTTATTATTATTATTTATTATTATTATTTTATTGATTATTATTTATTATTATTATTTTTTTATTATTTTTATAAATAATAAATTATTTTATTTTTTTATTTCAGATAGACTTCATCCTCAACTAGTTAAAGAAGGATTTATACCTATTTTGGCTAATATGTCATGGCAAACATTTGGTAGTTCTACAATGCCGAAATATTGTTTACAGGCTTTAGTAAGGATATTTTCCAAAATGAATATTGATGGTAAAATGTTAATTAAAATGGATATTATTAGTTATATTATTTATAATTAACTAAATAATTATAATTGTATAATATTAATTAAAATTATATAATAATAATTGAAAAAAAAAATTATAATTAAAAATAATAATAATTAAATAAATAATTTAAACAATTAGAGGCCAGAAAAGAGCTTAATAATTTATTGGATTGTAATATAGTTGGGCTTCTCTCTGCTTGTTTAAGGAATAGTAAGTTTTATTTATTTATTTATTTATATCACATTTTATTTATGTGATATTTTATATGATATTCTATATGATATTTTTTGATATTTTTTTGATATTTTTTATATATATAGGTACTGAAAATTCAGATGATGGAGAACTTCTTTATTGGTCAATGGGATTATTGCATGAATTTGTTATTAAAGGTTAGAATAATTTACTTATTATTATTATTATTATTATTATTATATTATTATTATTATTATTATTATTATATTATTATTATTATTATTATTATTATTATTATTATTATTATTATTATTATTTACAATATCTTTATTTATATTATTTATTGTATTATTATTACTCATTATTACTCATCATTATTATTATTATTGTCATTATTCATTATTCATTATTCATAATTCATTATTCATAATTCATTATTCATTATTCATTATTCATTATTCATTATTAGTTTATTCAATCTTCAATCTTAAATCTATATAAATAATGTAAATAAATACTTTTATTAAATAGATGTTGGACAAGATAAATTTCGCAAAATGAAAGGATTACTTAAATTCATGTCACAATTACTTTTGATGGAAGATTCATATATCTCTAAAATAGTTTTAAGGTCACTGAAATTTTTATCTCGTCACAATGGTTAGTAATTTATATTTAATATATTTTAATGTATCTTTGATGAGAATCTTGAAATCAGCATTATCATTATTTGTTAATTTTCTTTCTTTACGATTTGAAAAAAAAAATTAGCAAATTTTCAGGAAGAAATGATTTATTCGGGTATCACTCAAAAGATCATTTCATGTCTAAATTCACATGATGATGATGTTTCTTATTTGAGTTTGATAGTCTTACAAGATTTAGCAAGATATCGTAAGTTTAATATCTTCTTTATTTGCATTTGTCATATTTATGTCTGTGTTTGTATTTATTAAATGATTTTGTTTTTTTGTTTTTTTTTTTAGCTGAATCCCATCAAGATTTTATTGAATCAGGTGCACTCTCAAGTTTGATTACTTTGGCAACATCCGATAAACCATTAATTCGTATATATGTCTCAGGGCTTTTTTCTTTGATATGCACTTCAAGTATAATATTTATATCTTTATATCTTTGGTGATATTTACACTTATGATGATATCTAAATATTTATATCATTATATATCATCATTTATATATCAATTATATATCTTTATATATATCAATTATTGCGTATTATATTAGCAAAATTCCATAGTTTGATAGTATGTGAACCAGGTCTCATCGATACAATACTTCATATGCTTGGAAATGAAAATGAACGTGATATTCAATACGCAGCAGCAGCAGCTCTATTTAATCTAGCATCAATTTCAGGCATGTCTTTATCAATTTATTTATTCATTTATTTCACTCCTTCATTTCATTCATTTATTCATTCATTTCTTTCTTTCTTTCTTTATGTAGATGCTACGGCATGTCTTCTAATAAAAGCTGGCTGTATTGATTCGCTTATAAATATTTTATTAAAGTGTGGTAAAGAAAAATTACAGTTAACTTGTGCAAAAACACTTTTAATATTGGTGTTGAAAGGTGATTACATTAATTATTGTATCTATTTATATTTTTAAATTTATATAAATATTTATATCTATTTATATATATTTAAATATATTTAATATATTTTTATATGTATATAGAAAACGAATTATTCCCTACTCTTATTTATGACATAATGATTCCAATAATCGAATTAATTGTTTTGTTAGGAGAAAAAACCATCCTTTCTTGTTACCCCAATCATCATTGTATTCTTAATAATTTACTTTCATTAGGTGGAAAATATGATGATGATAATCAACAACCACAACAACAACAATATTATAATGAAAATCAACTAATAATTGATCAAATCATGTCACAAAAAATAGATCGAGAAACTTTATTATCTTCATCTTCATCTTCATCTCCTTCTCTTTCTCCTTCACCTTCATCATCATCTATTTCATTACCATCGCCATCATCCTTTAAATTACGTTTACATCATCAACTTTTGGGATTTCTTAATTCCCTTTTAATATTTACCAAAAATAATAATGAGGCATATGAATTTGTGATGAATAATGCAAAAAGAACTCCATTAATTTATAATTTAGTAATGATTTTAATAGAATTATTTCTTCAACCTGCAGCAAAATCATGGATGAATAAGAAAAATCTTTCCAACATTTATTTGATAAATGGAATAAGTGCTACTAACTTATTATTGGCACCAGTTGATAATCATCCAAGGTTTTGGAAATTTGCTTTTTCTGAAGAAGAATTAATGAAAGAAAATGAAAGAAATAATAATAATAATAATAATAATAATAATAATAATAATAATAATAACAATAACAATAATAATAATAATAATAATAATAATAATAACAATAATAATGATAATAACAATAATAATAATATTAATAAAAATAATATTAATAAAAATAATATTAATTATAAAAATAATAAAATATCATCACAACAATCATCAGAAAATTTAAAAGAACGATTGATTTTTGAACCAGATAATGAGGAAATACAACATGCAAAGATATTATTGTCAAAAGGTGCGGCTAATTTAATAACCTCTTTCTCATACCATTATCGTAAGTATTATTAATATTATTGTAAGTTATAAATGATATCTTCTAAATTGTAAGTGATCTATTTTAATTTTTCACACACATATATATTATATTTATATATTATATATATATAATTTATTTATTTATACTTCTAGAATTTGTTCGAAATTTCATTCTTAAAGATGAATTATTTTTTGGGGCTTTAATAAAATTATGGCAAGAATTTCCACCTCTCGCTGAAAGTATTTTATTATTTATGGGAACATTCTCAATTCAAGGAGGACCTCATTCTTTGGGAATAAAAATTTTAATGATCACATCAGTTTGGAAAAAATTATTACAACCCATATATCATTCATCAATAATTCGATTTTATGGTTACCTTTTTTTATATAATATGAGTCAACCATGGTCTATGATAGATAATAATGATAATAATGATAAAGGTGATAATAATAATGGTGATAACAATGATAATGGTGATAATAATAATAATAAGATCAATAAGATCAATAATAATAATATCAATAAGATCAATAATAATAATATCAATAAGGTCAATAATAATAATATCAATAATGATTATAATGGATCGGTTAATCATTATTATTGTACATTAAACATAATGGATTCGACGAGCCGAATTCTTTTATCGGGCGATATGTTAGAAGTAAATTATCCTCATGTTTTATTCCCATTCAAATGTTTGCATTCACATTTATTTACATTACATTAACTTAATTTACATTCATAATATAATATAACATTAGTGTCGAAATGATTCATGGACATTCGAAAGTATTCGGGCAACCCATTCCATCTCCGAAGGTCGTTACGCTTACGAAATAATCTTACGTACGGATGGATTAATGCAATTAGGGTGGGCTACCAAAAATAACAAATTCGATCCTGAAGGAGGTACGGGTGTGGGAGATGATAAATATTCATATTCTTATGATGGACATCGTAAAAAGAAATGGAATGATCGAGAAATTAATGTATAAAATCCATATTATTTTCAATTTTATTTCCTATTTATTTATTTATTTATTTATTTATTTAACCATTATTCTTATATTATTATCTTATTATTATTATTATTATTATTATTATTATTATTATTATTGTTATTATTATTATTATTATTATTATAGAATGGATATGGTGAAGCTTGGCTTATTGGAGATATTATTACTTGTGCAATTGATGTGGATGAAGGAATTATAACATTTTATAGAAATGGTGAAAATATGGGAATCGCTTTTACCGATAAAAAAAAGATTCCTAATGAAGGTCCTTGGTTTCCGGTTAGTTAATAAATTTAATAAATGCTATTATTATTTATTTTATTTATTTAATTTAATTTTAATTTTGAATTTATTTTTATTTTCATTTTATTTCAATTTATAATTTATAATTTATAATCTATAATCTTTAATTTATAGGCTTTATCACTTTCAACCAATCAAAGTTGCCGTGTACACTTTGGTGGAATTTTAGATCCTCTCAAGTAAGATATAAACATAAATATAAATATACATACATATACATACATACATACATATAGTAAGATGAATAATATTTTAAATATGTAAATTATGTTGATTATAATTAATTAAAAAATTATTTATTATTTAATTTTTATTCTATTTTATTTTCTTTCATTTTAATAAAGGTATTTACCTGATGGATATTCACCTATCGCTTCTGTCGTTCTTGGATTTAAATTTGATTTATCTTCTGAAACAATTCAGTCATCAAACGTAATAATAAATTTAAACAGCTCTAAAAAAATCTCAAATTTTGACTCTCAAAAACAACAACAACTGCAGCAGATTGATTCAAATGATCCAACATTAAATGTAGCTAATATTATTACTCCCTTATTATATTATGAAGTTCAAGTAGGATTGAAAGGAATGGATTATCGAAGGTTAGAATTTATTCTATTTTTATTTTCTTTTTATATTATATTTATATTCTATTTTATTATTTTACTTATTTTCATTATTATTATTATTCTTCCTCTTTTAGATGTTTCCAAATAGGATTATATAATACAACATCATTAGTCTATTTGTTTTGTGGATATTTAAATAATTACTTTTTAGTTTTTTGCAATTGTCATTCGAATTTCTCTAATTCCCGGGATTTTGATAAATGGTTAATGGAACTTTTGAATCATTATAAAATGCAACAACAACAACAAAATAATGAACAAAAAATAGAACATGAAGGATATGTGGCATTTGTTAAGATGTATACAAATTTAGAAATTAAAGATGGAGATTATATTGGATGGGGTGTGTCCTCTTCCGATTCACAAGATGTATGTACTATTTATATAAACAAGTTTAACAATTTGATTTTGAATAATTTTCAATGAACTTTATTTAATTTTTTATCTTTACCTTTATTTCTCTTTATCTTTAACTTTACTTATAAATTAGATTCACAATTCCGAATATTCAAATCTAAATCCCAAGGATATTTCTTTGACATGTTTTATCACATTGAATGGAAAAGTTATAGGTAAGAATGCGATATATGCTTTGTTTGTTAATCTTGTTATAAATTCTTGTTATATTTTCATTTAATCGATATTTTTATTTTTTATTTTTTTTGTATGTAGAAGACAATATAATTAATAAATTATCCAACGAATCGTCGTCATCATCATCAAACGAATTTATATTTCCCTGGATACGAAATTTACCACGTTGTATACCATTCTTTGGAATTGCTGAAATGGACGATTCCAATCTTAACTCAAATTCTAATTCAAATTCTAATTCAAATTCCAATCCTAATTTAAATCCTAATTCGAATTCTAATTCGAAATTTAAATATCAAAAGATTAACAATAAAAATTCAATTCAATTAATGTCAGATTATTTAACCATGTATACTCGGCAATGGTGGAGATATCAAGATAATCTTTAGAATTTATTTGTACATAAATGAGACAAGGGACAATGAGAATATATATATATATGTATATATATCAAAGAACAACTGAAAGAAAAAATAACATATATAGATTTTTATCGATATTTAAAATATCAAATTGTATTTCTTACTTAGCAATGTAATTTCTTTTTATTAGTTGTATATTTCATATTTCATATTTCATAGATAATATTTCAAAAAAAAAATTTAGAATCTTCATTTATGTCATTTTAATTTTTTTAACACATGAACTTAAAAAAAAGAATTTGTCAGTCAAGCTAAAGAAAACTTTAGAAATCTCATAATAATAATGATGATACAATAAAACCTTAATATATATCTACATATATTTTTAGAACTTATTTCTATGAATATTATAAGAATTAAAAATATTTCTTTAAATTTTTATTATATATAAAAATTGAAATTTTTTTATTTTCTTTCTCATATTGATAATAACTACAAATATATATATATTTTTATCTAATTTCATTTTGCAAATAATGTAAGTAATATTTAGATAATGTTTTGTTTACAATTAATTATACTAAAATCACCGCTTTAGAATAAAAAATGTGAAAGATAAAATAATAACAGATAAAAATATAAATGAAAATAACAATAACCGTAAAATTAAAAAAATTAAAAAAAATTAAATTCAATAAATTTACATGGCATGAAAACCATTCCTTTTCCTATTCAATTTCCAATTCAATTTAGTATTTGGATGTAATATTCCTTTAAATTCATACAACTCTATTAAATTAATCACTCTTCTAGAATTAATTTTTAAATCTTCTGCTGATAACCAATCGCCTATTCTTAATTCTAAACATTTAATCGATCTTTGTTGACATCGATTAAGAAATAATTCTAATGCATCAATATTGAATCCCATATTACTAAAATAAAGTGATTGTAATAATGACGGAATTGTTTCTCCTAAATTCCATACCCAATTTTTCATTTCGATCGGATCTTTTTCTACTTCATCACACCAATTTAAAAATATTCTTCCTAATTTATTACATTTACGCATAACATCAGGTATTTGATCAATCGTTAAATTATTTAAAGGAATCATCAATTCGATAAGATTTGGACAATGGGTAATAATTGTTGATATTAATAAAGTATGATTTTTCGGATCGATCACTTGAATTTCTTTGAACCAAGAGATTCTTAAATATTTTAAGGTTTTACGAGTATTCATAATTATCATGGTGATTAATAAAACATTTACAGTAGATTCGGAATAATAATCAAATTCCATTAATTGAACAAACAAATGTCTAACGAATGGTGCCAATACTGTTTTATCATCTTCAGGACCTTTTACTCCAATTATTAATTTTTTTAATAATTTACATTTTGAAAAAATTTTTGAAGGATATGATCCATCCCCATAAATATTTAAAGATGTTAAATGAGGAACCTTCTTTTCTAAAGATTTGTTAATATATGGTATAGGTCTACGAGTTCTATTGATAGTTAAAGACCATGTTACATTTTCTCGCATTTTATCTATTAAAGAAGCTAATCCCTTATTATCAATTTTATCTTTTTCGTCATCACACATTATTTCTAAATCTTTGATTTCAGTAAATATTTTACCTATTGATTCATATATTTCATCCTTTACCATTGTATGACAAATTAATTTCTCTAAACACGAATTTACAGGAATAATACCTGATAATTGTTGAAAATGTATATATTCATCCCATTTTATAAAATTTAATCGTATGCTAAATTTAAGTTTTGGATTTTGTGAAATAAAGAATTTACATAATTCTCGATAAAGTAATAATCGTTTCGGTTTAGTTTCTTCGTATAACTTTAAACTATAATATCTTGCTCTAATGACCCAACGTGAAACAATATCATAAAGATCTTGTAATTCAATCCTTTGTAAAAATGAAGCATAATTAATAGTGGTTTTTGAACGTCTCGAAACTTCTGGTGAATCTATTCCCGATATTTTTAATAAAGATTTAGATTCTTGAGGAAGATTTGTAATATAAATTTCTATAATATCATCTTTAGAATCTTTTATTGTTGAACAAACACTTAATGGTTCTTCCCAAATTAATGAAACTGCATTATAACACCAATAACGATTAACCAGCAAACATGATTTTTTTAAATTCACAAATTTTGGACTTTTGGTACATAGATTATATTTAAATATATCTTGAAGAATTTCGGGTGGTAAACGAGAAACCATTTTGTTTTTGTTTTTTATTTTTTTTTTTTATTAAAAAAAAAAATAAAGGAATTTGAAAAAAAAGGGTTTGAAGGAAAAAAAAAGGAGAAAGAAAAAAGAATTTGACGTGCAGAATTAACACTCAACGACACACATGGAAATAATGTACAAGGATCACTTACTAAAAAGAAATACAAAATCTACAAATGCGTCGATTGCTTAAATATCAGATCGGAACTATTATCCAAAATAAAAAATAATACTTTTAATTAGAATAATTCTTTGATTCTTTAGTAGTTGATTCTTTAAGTAATTCTTTAAGTAGTTACGCCAAAAGAAAATCCTTTTTGACATTTCATTAACTTCAGCATTTAGAATTTCTTTGTAAACCATTCAACGTTACACGATGCGAATAATATTAATCTGAATACAAAAGTGATAACCGTTTTTAGTTAATAAAGGTTATTATCATTATTCATTGTTCCATTACGAACTTCGTTGTTCAAATTCGTGTTACTTATGCGAGAAATTGCCTCAACATCATTATCATCTACACAATATGAAAAAATTCAATTGTTTTAACATATATTCATTGTTCTGAAAACGAAAAAAAAAAAAAATTGGACTTAAATCACAAAAAGTCGAGTTGGAATAATTTATTTTATTTAACTATTTGACGATTTATTTTACCATTAATTTTATCATTTATTTAAACTATTTTAGAGCCTAATAATGACAACTATAATTATTCAAGATTAGGGATAGCTTAGTTTGTGCGCTTAAGTCTGTTCAAGTTTTTTAAATGCATGAGATGCATAAATGTTATAAATTGGCATAAATGGAGGTTCTATCTATATTTAGATCTAAACAACTTATAAATAATTTATATTCCTTTTTTTTTTCAAAGAAAAAAAAACAACCTAGCAGCAATAATTTATTCTTTGCTCTTGGTTTTTTTTTTAAAAAAGCAAAAAAAATAAAATTTAATTTATTATTTATCCATTTAATTAATTATTATTTATTTTATGAACTTTTTAATATGACAAATAAATTAAAATATCAGACAATAAGCTAGTTTAATATAAGTTAGACCATTGACATGGCATGGAACATTATCAATTTAATAATAAAAAAAAAAACATTTATAATCAAATCATAATATCTAATTATACTCTCATTTTTTAATTTATAAAGTTAATAATAAATATCGGGGTTTTTTTTTAAAAAAAAAAAAAAAATGACAGAAACTAACGACACAAACAACGCAAACAATATTTCAGTATTAAAACCAGATTCTCGTCCAGTATCCAAAATAGGTGCTGGCTGTAAAGGATGTAATGGACCTACCAAAAAATTTCAAACTTGGTGTAAGCCATGTATAGAAAAACATTTTCAGGAAAATTTTAGCAAATGGACAAGTGGGAATGAGTTACTTGATGAATTCATCCGTACTGTACAAATGGAAGAATATCGATTTAATTTTACTATCGAATGGATTCCTTTTGATAGATTGTCAGATATTGAATTCATAAAAAAAGGAGGATTCGGAACGATTTCTAAAGCTATTTGGTTAGATGGATATATACACGAATGGGATTTGAAACAAAATGAGTGGAAGAGAGCAGGAAGGAAGAATGTTTGTTTAAAGAGAATTAATGATTCAAAAGATAATATTTCCATGGAATTTTTAGATGGGGTAATTTATTATTTATTTTATTTTTATTTATTTTTTATTTATTTTATTTATTCATTATTTATTTATATTTTTTATATTTGATTTATTATTTATATTATAATATTTTATTATTATTTTCAATATTAGATTAAAAAACAAGTCAAAACAAAAAGTTCTCGTGTTATTACAATTTATGGATTTACCCAAGATCCAGAATCAAAAGATTACATGATAGTCACGCAATATTCATCTGAAGGAAGTCTTCGAGAATTCTTGAATAAAAATTATACAAATCTTTCTTTATTCGAAAAATTATGTATATTAAAAGATATTTCTTGCGCCCTTAAAGATCTTCAAAAGGAATCTAGATTACATCAAAATTTACATCCGGGAAATATCATCATGATTGAAAGGATGCAAGTAGCTACACCTGGTCTTTCAGATCTTGGAATATGTAAACCTATAAAATTTTATAAATCTCCTTCTTCACCTTCAGGTGATAAAATACCAGTATATGGAGTTTTACCTTACGTAGCTCCTGAGTTATTATTTGATTCAAAATATAGTCAAGAATCTGATATATACTCATTCGGAATTATTATGTATGAAGTATTAACTGGTATACCACCATATTATGATATTTCCCATGACGGTTCTCTCGCCTCAAAAATTGTGGAAGGTCAACGTCCGGAAATAAAGGATAATCAATTGCCACCTTTACTTTTAGATCTAATGAAAGAATGTTGGGATAAAGATCCTAATAATCGACCTGTAGCACAAGAAATATTTTCTTCTCTTTATGGAATGGAAAAGAATTATAACGAAAAAGATTCAAAAATTTATAATCAAATTAAAGATATTATAGATATCGATTCATCATCACCACCACTTAAAGATGAAATTGATCCTTTTGCTATTTATACTAGCAGACTTTTGGACTTTAATGATCTTCCCAGACCAATTATTAATCAAGGTATTTTATATTAACCTGTTAATTTATTTAATTTATTAATAATTTCTTTAATATTTATTGATTTTCTAAATTAAATAAAAATTTTAATAAATTTTTAAATAGATAATGAACAATCATTAATTGAAGATGTAAATGAAAAAGAGGAAAAAGAACACACAAGATGTTGTAAAGCTTGTGTTATTTGTTAAATTATTATTATAATCCTGCTGAAATATAATAATTTATTACTTGGGAAATTATTTTTTAATTTTTTAATACAAAAAAAAAAAAACTTAATAAATTAATAATTATTTATTACATGATTTACTTATATTTAAAAAGATTTTATTTATTTTTAATTAGTTAGTTTATCCATTTTCTTCTGATAAATTAAAAATAATAATAATTACAAATTATAATAATTACATAATAAAAATACATAATAAATACATAAAGCTTTTAAAAAAATATATAATTGATGTAAGATGGCGTTTTTATTAATTTCTATTTATAAATCGTAAACAAAGGCACGTGCTTCCATTTATTTATACGCAAAGAAAAAATTCCTTATCTCAAGTTATCTTAAGAGCACAAGCCGAATATAGTATACACGTCCATCGAGAAACCACAAATTTACAAAATTTTCCGCTTTGGTTTCTTTTTAATCTTGTGAAACAAACGATATTATTAATGCCGCAGTTTGTAGTTGATATTTTCTATGTAAAAAGGGTTTGGCAATCTTGAACATTTACACATTACATTTACACATTCTTTTTTTTTCGAAAATTTACGAAAATTAACTTTTGAGGAATTTAACTTGTTGAAGTTTTTAATCATGTCTCCAAATTTACCCAATGAATCTCTTCAAAAAGTTTTCAAATACATCGACAAAGATGATATCAAAACTTTACATTCTATCGTATTAGTAAACAGAAGTTGGTGCGTGAATAGTATTAAATTACTTTGGCGACAACCTTTTCACTTTAATCATTTACAGAGTCACCATTTTACCAAGATGAAATATACCAAGATTAAATATACTGAAAGGAATTCTACTAAAAGGAAAAAGGAAAAATCTCATAAATTTTATAAAATAATTCCAATTTATTTAGCATGTCTTGAAGAAGAAAGGAAGAAATCTCTTATTAAACTTGATGAAAAAAATCCATTATGTATACCAAGTCATGCAACATTTAATTATCCATCATTTCTTAGAAAACTGGATTTCATGAATTTATTAATACAGGTGACTATTTGGTATGGTCATCAAGAATCTTCGAAAATACAAAAAACGAAGAAAAAATCCAAAGTTCATAATATTTTAAAAAAATATATTTTCAAAGCAACAAGTCCAGAAATCTTACAAAAGTCATATAGTCAAATATTTTTATTAGTTGAATCAATTTTTTCACTTTTCCTAAAATCTTCAACACTTAAATCATTTACCATTTATCCGCCAACTCTACCATCACAAACTCTACGACCTATGATTACTCATTATCCCGAAGATGGAAATTCTTCAACAAATAATAATAATAAAATGTCACGAGCACCCAATAAATCCAATATTTATAATCAATTAATTATTTATTCTGCGGTATTAGGAACTTTGTTTATACATGAATATGGAAAATATCCCAAACATAAAGAGGAACATAAAGATTTCAATGCATTTCATTTAGTAAGACTTTATTGTTTTAGTAATTATTTTAAAAGAGAAGAAAATTGGGAATATTATTTGAGCAATGTAATTTTAAGATTATTGAAAGGAGAAAATAATTGTTATACTTTAATGAAAGTTAAATTAATTATAGCACTTAAGAAAAACAATTCAATTTAATCAGTTTTTAAAGCGGTTTTTTTTTAAAAGTTTTTTAATTTTAATAAGCAAAATAAACATTTTAAATAAGCATCCTTTTTTTTTTTTACAATAGGATAAGTAAGTAATTCATATGGATCATTCTCATTATTTATTTAATTTTATTCGTTTTAATTATTTTCTTGGATTTCTTTTCAAATTAGTTTCTTTTTTTTATATATCTTATATTTATATTTTATACATTTTTATTTTTATATATAAAAGTGATAATATTTTTTATTTATAAAGTGATAATAAATTTTATTTATTATGTAATACACAAATTTCGGTTGCTCGTTTTATTTATCTTCGCATTACAAGAAAAAAAACCACAACATATTAATTATAATGGCGTAGCTGCCAACGACGACTTTCTTTTATTGATCCTTTAAACATTAAATAAAGCTTTCATTCCAACAACAAAAAGCCTATTATTAATATGAGAATTAATGAAAAAATATCTCACTTATTCCTGTAAGAAATTTTTTTTAGTAAAATCAGATTTAAAAAACGACTACTTAATAATGGTATGGTGTTATCTTTACCAGCTGTTCATTTATTTGTAAACATCTTGTACAACAAGGAACTGTCCTGATAAATGCCAATCGATAATTTCGAAATTTCTACAGTTTTAAAAAAGGATAATTTATTATCTGATAACATGCGTGCAATTATATGACACTAATAGATAACAATTGAAAAAATACTTGAAATCTTAAAAGTATTAAAATTTTAAAAAAAAAATTTAATATATTTATTTTGACCAAAAGGATAAAAATAAGTAGAAAAATGGTATCCAAAATAACATGCCTTGAACTTACAACTATCATTCGCACGATACAAAAAATACTTTATTTTTGATTAAGAATCTTTTTTCATTCAACTTTATTTTATGTAATTTATAATTTATTTAATTAAGAGTGTCCTTAAAATAGACTCTGGGTCTATATATGGTAAATTGTTAAATGTGATGAATAAAATTACGTAAATCCGATATCATTTATTTGAAATAAGGGACCCGGAAAAATTTTATTATAAATCGGAAATTTTCTTGTATAATGGAATAAAAGTGCTTTTTGTGTAATATTTGTACAGATAGCGAATCATGATTGCAAACTTTTATTGGTGCAGTCATGATTGCTGCTTAAATTAATTATCGATGATTAATTATCAAAGTTTTTCTGCATATAACAAATTTCTAGATGATAATAGACAGAATTTAAGTAAAGAATCGCGTAAATTTCCCACTGTGATGTATTTTAACAATCAAAACAATAAAAAAAAATGAAAATGATAATTTGCGTAGTTTTCTTAAAAAAATTTTTAACGGAATAAATCGGAATAATTGATGATACAGTGAAATTTGATATCGGAATTTTTCCGTTGTGTTCAACTTCGGATGATCAAATTTAATTACCGTATCTGGTATTGCTACAATGACTACTTTTTTGTAATTCACATATCGTTTAGAATTCTTTTATTTACCGCATCGTTTTCAAAATATATGAACGTTTGAATATAATTTTTTTTATTTCTTGGTCGTTTTCAATCTTTTTTGTAAATAAAGTGTGTTATTTCATTTCTAAAAATATAAGCAAATGACTTCTAAAGTATCATTTTGAATTTCTGATTTCATTAATCAAATTTAAGCCGCACATCTCATTCTTGGATTTTATAATTAAAAAATAGATAAATTATAACAAAGAAATGGCTTATGTTAAAATAATTATCAATATTTCTAAATATTAATTTAATTTTACATATCATATTTTTTAAACATTTTTTACATTAAAATCGCTAATTTAATAGATTTTCTTTAAGAAATTACTAACAACAAATGATCAAATGTACTGTATTTAGAAAAGATTGTATTTTTAAAACATTATTTATTATTTATGAGCTTAAAAATTTCAGCTTCAGCCGTATTTATTTAACGTTAATGTTACACTGTTTACTATCATTTTTGAAAACATAAAAAGCCTTAAAAAAGAAATAATTCATATTTTTTGGAAAAAAAGTACAAATAGTCAATACGTATAAGACTTAAAAAACATAAAACATAAATAAAAAGCTTTTATAAGATTTTTTTTTTATATAAAAACACGAAGCAGAAAAAGAACCATATTGTATTATTTGCAGACTATGTAAAACGTGACTGTACGATGCCGATTGTGAAATTTTAGGAGTCTTTCCACATTGTTTTAAAGATACAGATGATCATGATTTTTGTTGTGGTTAGCCAATTCAAAAAAAAAAATAATTTTTGAATACAAATTTTATCAGTTGTTCAGAATTTATATTTTAAATTTCAAAAAATATATATTTTTTTTATTATGAAGATTCTTTTTATTAATCTTTTTGGAAAATTTATACGATCGATCATGTAAAGCAGTTAACATCACATAATTTTTATTAAATAAAAATTGTTTGAAATTTAATGAAAATCAATCAATTTAAACAAAAGACGCGTAATTCATATATAAATAAATATGTAAAACATTTTGTTTCTCCTGTAAATTATAATAAATATAAAATTAAAAAAAAATGTTTGGTAAATTAAAAAAAAAACTAACCCTAACTCTATTGTAAAATTTGTAAAATTAGAATTAAAAAAAAAAAAACATTATACTATAGTAAGCCTTGACTTTATTATTGAAGTCATTAAATTTATCATTGGATTTTATTTATTCTTCTCTCTTCAAAGAAAATTTTTCCTGATATACTCTTCTTGTAAGATAATGTCCCCAAGATTCTGCCCAATATTCTTTTCCTTTATTATAAGCATTTGTTGTAACTGTTTGAAATGCGTTTGATTCTGCTCCTGTCCAGAGCGCCCCCTGAATAAGTAACTTCTATTGTATCGTAAGCATCGATTTTGTTGATATACAGTATGCTTTAACAGCTTCTTCTACTTGATCGTTTCTTTTTGTCCCAAATGAGTAGGTTATTTGTTTTATAAAATCTTCAGCAATTTCTTCTTTCTTTTGCTCTGATAATTTATTTTTTATTCCAGAAATTAGAATTGAAGGAACTTATTTAATATCATTAAAACAAGTAAATAATGATTATAAAACTTAAGAGATTATTCTTACATTATTTCTTATTGTTTTTAATGTTTCTTGAATATCATCGTATGCACTTCCTGTATGTACAGTGGGTGATCAAAAATCACCGGACAGTTGAAAATTTTTAAAAAAATTACTAAAATTAAAATGCTGATTCTACC